GATTTTTTAAGCCTTGCGCTTGCTTTCTCTTCCAGCGATAGGGAAAAAAAAAAAAAATCCCTTGCTGATATTTTCTGCTTCTGCTTTTTCTTCACAAATATTCGTTCTCCCTTTTTCGCTCTCTACGAATCTCCTCGTTCTCGTCGCTATATTCCCTTCCGATCTTCGCTTCAAACCAAAGCAATTCCTGGATTCTCAAATCTAAATCTGTCTCTCGAAGAAGGTATGCGCTAAAAAAAAATTGACATATTTTTGCTCTGACTTTTATTCGAATTCGTCACTTCACAGTTCGATGCTTCACAGTAGTGTTAAGTTTCTTCGAAATCCTCGTTTTTCTCGTGTTGGGTTTGTTGAATAGTCGATTAAAATCCTTTTTTTTAGATGGAATCTGAGTTTGGTTCTGTGCTAAATCCAGTCTTCTGATTTCTGATTATTTCTGAACCTTCCTATTCAATGTCAAGTGTATTTAATGTGAGACGAATCCGTTTTTATCAATAATGGGTTAGATTGGTGTCTTGAGATGTTGACGTCCATTGATAGGGTTTTAGTTAAAACTTTCCTAATTACTCAGTTTTTGAAGTTTATAATGGAATCTGATTGTTGCTTTGGTTAAGTTTTTTGGATACAGATGTTCTCCTCTTGATTCGATTTTTAGGGGAATTGGAAAATTTATAGAGTAATGGAAGAGGAGAATGTTACTAGTTCACCTTCAACGCCTTCACAAAGGCTTAGGCATCGAAGACGTTCTAATGAGGTTTGTTTTCTTTTCTTGCTTGAATGGAATTAAGAATGAAGTATCTTTGTTTTGACTTTGGTTTTGGTTAGGTTGTAATGGATGGGGATAGAGTGAATGCAAGTCCTCTGCTAGTTAATGATCGGAATAAGTATAAGTCTTTCATGGTCCGGACTTACTCTACGTTATGGATGATTGGTGGTTTTGTTTTGGTTGTCTACATGGGACATCTCTATATCACAGCTATGGTGCTTGTTATCCAAATATTTATGGCTAAAGAGCTTTTTAATCTGCTGAGGAAAGCACCTGAGGATAAATGTCTCCCCTGGATTAAACAGTTGAACTGGTAAAATTGTGCTACTTTTATTTAAGTTAGCTAGTGATTATTGGCTCATGTGACAGAAACTGTTCTAAGTCGTCTTGGTTTTGGATTCTCTGCAGGCACTTCTTTTTCACTGCCATGCTTTTCGTGTATGGCCGGATTCTTAGTCAACGGTTAGCCAATACTGTGACTAAGGACCAGTTCTTATATCGGCTAGTCAGTGGCCTAATCAAATACCATATGGCTATCTGTTACTCTTTGTATATTATAGGTAAGTCTTGCTTCACCATTTTGTCATCTTTGTGGAACTCATCATTAGCAAAAATGGGTCTTGATGTCTGCTTATGTAATTCACCTTACAACATTGATGCTTAAGGATTGCTATAATGTAATAAATTGCAGGTTTCATGTGGTTCATTCTGACGTTAAAAAAGAAGATGTACAAGTACCAGTTTGGCCAATATGCATGGACCCATATGATTTTGATAGTCGTGTTTACTCAGTCCTCGTTCACTGTTGCCAACATATTCGAAGGAATCTTCTGGTACGTTTTTAAGAATTTCGGCATGTGATAATTTATGCTTTTCCACCTATTTGCTAAAGAACACTCATATCCTCTATCTATCGCCAAATACGATTAGGCTATGCTTAAAAAAATCTTGACCACCTTGCTTCCTACACTCGCACATTTTGGCCCCAATCTGTTTTACTTTTGTTCTTTATTGAAATGTAATTGTCTTCTAGATTGATCATAATGTTGTCTCCTTTTGCCGGCTTGAACTGCAGGTTTCTTCTTCCAGCATCTTTAATTATAATCAACGACATCTTTGCTTATATTTTCGGTTTCTTCTTTGGAAGAACACCGTTAATAAAGCTATCTCCAAAGAAAACATGGGAGGGATTCATCGGAGCCTCTGTGACCACTATCATCTCTGCATTTGTTGTAAGTATTTGTGGCCTACATCATTTCATTGTACCTTCACCAACCTATGCCTAAATGATGTTCTGTATATGCGTAATATTTCAGCTAGCAAATATTTTGGGTCGTTTCCCATGGTTGACATGCCCACGACAGGTTAGTCATCGAGGAAAAAATTGACACTGATCTTGAACACAATCTTTGAGGAGCTTATCGTAAGTCTGTGAAACGTTCTGCAGGATTTGTCCACTGGCTGGCTAAGCTGTGATGCTGATCCAATGTTCAAACCTGAACCTTTTACTTTACCTGCGTGGATTCCAGAATGGGTAAGCCTTGGTACCATGTTACATTGCTTCGAAGAAACTTATCCGTGGTGTACTTTTTCTGTTTTGATAAAATTGTGCATAAGCTTTCTCAACTTCTTACTATACATTTGCAGTTTCCTTGGAAGGAAATGGAGGTCCTCCCTGTTCAGTGGCATGCTTTAGGCCTCGGTTTGTTCGCATCAATCATAGCACCTTTCGGAGGGTTTTTTGCTAGCGGGTTCAAAAGAGCATTCAAAATCAAGGTATGTAATCAACACCACCAAATTTGAGCAAAATTTCACTTACGATACACTTCTAAAAACAAAACCTTTGCTTAATAAAAACTGTAATTGCAGGACTTTGGTGATAGTATTCCAGGACATGGTGGAATCACGGATAGAATGGACTGCCAGGTAACTCTAATGAAACTCATACCTCTTCATAAGCTTATGATTAGGTCTTCTAATAGCAGAACAACACAGAAGAGAATTGCAGAAACCGTAACGATTTCCTATATTGTTTTCTCTGTTAAATTGATGATGCTGATGAACAATATAAACTGATGAACCAAGGACTAGCGGATATCGAGAACCATGAGATAGTTAGTGTTTAGTTATAGAGTCCCTAAGCTCGCCCAAAATCCCATAAGAAGCTTATTCAACTCTGATTTAATCTACTCCTATTTAGACTTGAATTGTTTCAAACGCCAGTCTTTAGGTTTGCTCTTACATGTGAAAAGCCAGAAAAAGAAATCAGATTTTTAAAATTGAAACAGTTTATTGTTTCATATAATGATTTTGCAAAATGTACAGTTTAAACGCAAAGGCCAAAAGCAGACAGTACTAGGAAAGACTTTCCTTTGTGTTTGGCGTTTGCGTTTAGAAGTTAACAAAGGAATTTGTTTAAATTTTAACGCAAAACTAAACAAGGCATTATACTAGATACATATATGCTTGTTATATAGTTTTTCATTCATAAGATTGTCTTTGCATAAATTGACTTGATGAGAAAAAAAAACATCTTTCGCTTTTCTTACATCCATTTTTAGGCATACATAACCAGACTTCAGTTTTTTTCATATGATTTTCACAGATGGTAATGGCAGTATTTGCTTACATATATCTCCAGTCATTTATAGTCTCCCAAAGTGTTTCGGTTGATAAAATCCTGGACCAGGTACTTTTAACTTCTCTATACACAGCTTGGACTTTTTGTTTATCTATCAAGACTGAAAAATTAACTTTGCGACTAATCAATCAATGATGTGATGTTTCATTGTAGGTATCGGCGAACCTTACCTTCGAGGAACAACAAGCTCTGTTCATGAAATTAGGACAAATGCTTCAGGACAAGGCGAAAATGATCGGTTACTAGTAGTTTCCACTGCAAACTTTTCTTCAGATTCAGATTCTCCAGGACTTCTTCAGGTACTATAACTCTGGAATATCGACTTCTCTGAGGATTTTTTTTTTTATCTATCCGTATTACAGACAAATAATTCGAATCAGGATAAGATTTATTTCTCCTGCCATTGTAAATCCTCTGGAAGTTTAGAAGTCTTTTTTATCATTTGATACAATAGGGTTTGAAGTTGTATCTACCTACTATCTACTTTTCTAGTAGCTTTGGTGGTTCGTTTGTATTTGTATATGGTTAAAATTTAAATGGATATTTGGTTCGTTTGTCTTTTGTTCTGTTCCATTTTTTGGTATGTTGGGCCTTTTTCGAAACGGTGTCGTATTCGTACGGTGTTTTTTGGGACTATTTATGGGCTTTAATATAGATAGGTCCATATTGTTAATTTGGAAATACGTCCACTAAACTAGAAATCCGTTAATGGATGGGTACGTCACAACGATTAATGCGATACTAGATAATATATTGACTAATCAGTTTTAACTTTGGCCTACTAGTCAAGGATCTAA